TTTTTATAAAAATGCGAAAAATCGAATAGCCGGCCATCTAGTGATCGTATAAAGTCGAGCCATATATCATTGGATTCGTCTCGACGAGACGCGTCGAATGGTGGTAAGATCATGTCTCTAGCATCGATAGAATACACGTTAACCTACGCTAAATGATTTATCAATAATTTGAATTAGCAAGCTATCTATCGGTGCTAGAGACGTGATCTTACCACCATTCGACGCGTCTCAGTGAGACGAATCCAATGAATATAAATTCGTTCGTGTACGACCACTAGATGGCGAATAATATCAAGTTTCGCATTTTTTTAAAATTTTCGAGCGTTAAAAATTAAAAATTCAGATACATGAATTTATTCGTCGTCCAATGGTCGTATGAATATGAATTAGGACTCATTGGATTCGTCTCGATGAGACGAGTCGAATGGTGGTAAGATCACGTCTCTAGCATCGATAGATAGCTTGCTAATGCCAATTTTTTATAAATTATTTAGCGTGAATTAACTTACGATCTATTAATGCTAGAGACATGATCTCACCACCATTCGACTCGTCTCATCGAGACGAATCCAATGAGTCCTAATTCATATTTGTACGACCATTGGACGATGAATAAATTCATGTATCGGAATTTTTAATTTTTAACGCTCGAAAATTTTAAAAAAATGCGAAACTTGATATTATTCGCCATCTAGTGGTCGTACACGAACGAATTTATATTCATTGGATTCGTCTCACTGAGACGCGTCGAATGGCGCTAAGATCATGTCTCTAGCACCGATAGATAGCTTGCTAATTCAAATTATTGATAAATCATTTAGCGTGGGTTAACGTGTGTTCTATCGATGCTAAAGACAAGATCTTACCACCATTCGACGCATCTCGTCGAGACGAATCCAATGATATATGGCTCGACTTTATACGATCACTAGATGGCCGGCTATTCGATTTTTCGCATTTTTATAAAAATCAGATTAAACTGAACCGAACCGCCGGTTTTTCAGTTCGGTTCTTACGGGTTTTAGCTCTAATCCGAACCGTCTATAATCCGGACCAAACCGACCCGTTCAGAGCTTTAAGCATTAGTAATTTCTGGTCCTATCATTGTGAATCTGCATTATCACAGTTTGATTTGTTAGGGCTTGAGATGTTTGAACAATAAAATATATATCTTAATTATCTATTTTATTTAATCAGGCCTAAAACATGCCTAATTTGACCTGTTTCACTTTTGATAAGAAATGATTATTGAATGATTACAGGTAAAATTTTTAATCTTATTAATGTATTATTAATAATTCTTTATAATTATTATTAGTGTCAAGTTCAAGTACCTATAATAAGAAACCTTTTATACATTTAATGAATTAGGAAATTTTATGGTAAACAACTGTGCTTACCATATATTGGAAGCAACGTTCGATCTAGAAGTGAAGGAAGAATACTGAACAATTATAAGGGTGAAAAAGATGGTGTAAATTTATATTACTTAGAATTTATACTCACTCTCGAATGATACATTTTATAGAATAATATGGTACCGAAAGTCTATACTTGACAATAAAAAAGTAACACTTAAAAAACTTTCAACTTCTTAAAAAAAATACAATTTAGAAAAAATAAACTGGTAACTTTAACTTTATTCTTTAAGATAAGCTTTATCAAATTACCAGTCAGATTTTTAAAAGAAGATTTATGTAAAAAGTTATAAGCATTTAAAATTGCATGATTTTCATATGATCAGCCCAAATTTGAAATAAAATATGTTGGCCAGAACTTATAATAAATTGGGCTAACTTCATGCATCGTGATAATGCCAACTCAAATTATCATATTATGATAAATCAAATGTAAAAAAAAATTTTTATCAATGTATGACTTTTATAAAATGGTAGTTGCGATAAATCTACTTTTTCTTATATTTTATTTTGTTTGTAATATCATAATAAATTTTCAAAAATCACATTTTATTAGTACTTTTTACAAGAAATTCCAGTTTTTTATTGGCTGAATTCTGGATCATATGATATAGAATCGGCTCAGAAAATTAAAACAAAATTACATAATTGTTAAGTATAGATTTTTGTCACCATAAAAAAAACAGTTAATTGAAAAAAACCAAGCGAAAAAAAAGCAAACATAGAAATATATTACAAAATACTGGTTATATTATAATAATTGTAAGAATGTTAAATATGAGTTAAACGATAAAAATATATTCTAATATAACTTTAATTATTATAGAATGCTATGGATATAAATGAAGAATCAGAAATTAAAGAATCATATGACAGGCTTAATTTCACAGAATTTGATAAATCTTATTTAGCGATAGATTCCAAAAAAATGTGAAAGCTAAAATCTGGACAAAAAATTGAAAAAATAATTTATTAGTAAAATTGATTTCCTTTATTTAATATTCTAATAACTTGCAACTGTTTAATAATATTACAACTACACTCAGAAATAAATTTTGTAATCATGTCTTTTAGCATTTTATTTAGCTTTAGACTATCCTTTAAATATTTCACTCCATTTGATCTAAAGCTTTAAATGGTTCGAATTGGTCTGGGTTGGGAAGTAACCCAGAACCGGACCAAAAAATTAGTTCATTTCAGTCCAGTCTGGTTTATATTAAAAGGAAAATCTGTGACTAGACCGGACTGGACCAGTTATTTTGGTCCAGTCCAGTTCAGTCCTATAATAAAAAACGTTGCAAAAACATTTTTTTAATTATAATTACTTAGAAAAAACGTTTCGCAATGTTATTTCACAACGTTTTTTCTTTAAATTAATTAAAAAAACATTGCAGCAAAACTTTATTTAAATAAATTGAAATATTCTAGAACTATCTTAATATCATTAATTTATAAACCATTTACTTTACTAAAAATGACCAATTTTTTGAAATGATTTTGTAATAATTTTAAAATACTACAAAAATACATTTAATACATCAAAATGGTTTTATTATATTTTTGTTATTATTTTGTAATTATATTGTATCTAGGTCTATAAGAATAACTCAAAATAATATCACAATAATTTTTTAATGTTTTTGTTATTATTTTATTATTATAATATAATTAACTTTGATATTATTTTAATATTTTAATTTCAAAAATACCTTAAATATATTTTGATATATTTTAAAAATTTTACAAAATAATTGCACAATTGTTTTGAAAGCTATTGTATCTATATAGATCTATAAAAATATTTCAAAAAATTGGCCATTTTTAGTAAAGTAGCAATAATAAAAATATAAAATTTCATACTAGTTTTCATGTAATTTTTATGGATTTTACAAAAATTCTATGGAAATCCATAAGAATTCCATGTAATATATCAAAAAAAAAAATTTTACTATTCACACGGTAATTAATATTTTAACAATACTTTAAAAAATAAGTTACACAATATAAATAAATAAAATTTCAAATTTTGGACTATTGTTCATAATTGTTATTTATAGATGACCGCCACCATACAAACATATAGTCTATTTATGAAATCAAATGATCACTCAACAGTGTACACATAGGTATTTTATATATGATGAATAGTTTGTAGCTTAATAATATATAAGTAGTTTATAGAATTATACTTAGTATAAAATTTCTTTTATTTTCGTTAATAAAACTGCAAATACACTGCAATAAAAAAAAAATAAGACTAATTTTAATTTGAGGTGATTTAATTTGGATGATTTAATCTACTAGTAAATTTTATATAATTATATAATTTAAACATAAAAGTTATTGTTAAAAAATATCCAAATAATAAAATCTATGTAAAGTAAAATGAATAATACAAATAATTTTTTTTTTGAAAAAAAATAATCAGCAAAAAATCATGTAAATATAAAAATATAAATTTTTAGGGGGTGATTTAACCCAGATTATTAACCCAAGGGCAAGTTAGCAAAACTCATATAATTTTTATAAAAATATACTTTATATTATTATTGGAATTAAATTAAAAAATAATTTATTAAATAAATTAAAAATTATACAAATCTATAAAGATAAAATATAAGAGAAATTAAAGTTATAAATAATATAATTGAAATTAGAATTGAAATTAAAAAATGTAATTGTTAATTTCAAACTAATCATAATTGAAATTTTAAAAATTGGATTTAGAATTAAACTCCAGTTAGAAATTATTATATTGTTAAAATTACAAGTTTTATTGAATTATTCTAATATATAATATATAAATGATATATAAATGAATTTTGTAAACCAAAATTGAAATGTTAATCCTAATCTCAAGAATTTTAAATCCAATTTCAATTAAAAATAAAAATTACTGAATTTATAATTTATAATTTTTTATTAGTATTCCAATTTATCTTAATTCATTTTCATATTGTTATTCTTATTTGGATTTGAGATTTTCAGTTGATTTACTATAAAGGATTAGGGAAAACCTTTAGGAATTAATCAAAATAAGCTTTCCATTTTACTTTCCATTTACTGAACAATCATGAAAATAAATTCATTGTCATGTTAATGCAATATTTGTGACATAATCACGTAATTTTCCCGAAAAAATAGATCCGGAATTTTACAATTCCGAACTTAAAAAATTTCCCACCGAGAATTATAATCATAGTCATGTACATTTCCGAATATAATTTTTACCCCTGAGAAGTATCGGGCTTGATCTTAACTCATTGTACAAATTAAGATGAAAAATGACATAATGAATTATGTTATTCGCTAAGCGTAAAATTCCCGAAAAAATTCGTTTCGGCAAAATACATAAAAACGTGTAATGTATTGATCGACGTACGCCAATATTATTAATGCTACTTTTTGTGCCGATTCATCCAAACTACTAAAACTTACCATTATTAAAGATTTTTTGTAATCAATTATGGAAATTATGGCGTCCAAATTTAAACTTGATCACATGGAAAATGAGTTTATAGCGTTACACTGAGTACAAGTCACAAAGTTATTTTGGTTACACTTCGTTTCTACCTTTCCTCATTTTCCCATTCACAGAGAATTTCTTATATATTGTTCAACTTTCTTTCTCGTTTTTTTTACCTTTTTTACGTGTATATATAGGAAATGGCAAAAATGTTACTTCCAAGACTTTCTTCATATTTGCGTTTGAACGCTGCTTTCAACCATACATTTTCCCGCTCTTTCCAACAACAAAACATTATTATTATTAATCGTACTTTATTCTCCAGTAATATATCAAGAAATGCAGCGCCAACAGCATATGAGGCGGACAAAGACTTTTATGCTTTAAAAGTTACAATCGATGATATTAGGGCAAAATATGGATTAGGGGGCGGTAGTCGTATTAAAGATGCAAATCTTGAACAAAATTCTGATTTAGATTTAGAAGTTGATTTAACTTTGGCTGATGTAAAGAAATTATCTAAAATTCAAGAATTATTAGAAAATGCTTCGCAAGATTTATCACGTTTAATTTCTTCAAAACCTGGAGATATTGAAGGCATTAGAGATGATGATATCGTTATTAAAGCTAATGTAAAAAAATCTGTTTGGTTAGCTGAAGATGATGATGTTTCTGGTTATGCTGAAAAAGCTATAAAAGCTTATAAAGAGACTAAAGTTGTGGGGGACGTTCATGCTTATGATATAGATGACGGTAAAAATGAAAGAAATCCCGCTGGTTTCAGACAAGATTTATATAACTAATATTACTAATTTTAATGAATTAATGAATTTCAAAGGATTCTAAAATTTGGCATATTAGTTACAAGAAAAAAATTTTTAAGGTAAATTCTGAAAGGAATACCAAACTCTCTTTATTTTTCTTTAGTGATTTTAGTTTAATGTAAATAGCTTTTTTGACTATGTATGTAGTTTAGTAAAAATTTATTTTTCATAAGTAGGATTCATTTATTAGTTACAATAAAATTTTTTACACGCACAAGTAATTAAAATTTTAAATTATGAAGTCATAAAAGTGACACCGTGCCAAATAATGATGCATAAAAAATTATATAACAGATAATTCTGCGAGACGTGGGAGATATATAAATTCCACGTTCACGTGATTTCGTGATTTATGGTGTCCAAGTTTTGATTGGTTCAATTGGTACGGCTCAATCGTCCAAAAGTTTTCATATAATTATTATAATCCAATCTTTTTATATCAGAAGAATAAGTTAATACTTAAGCATCTGGATTTCAAAATTTTGACATTTTAAATACATTAAAAAAAAAGAAAATCACCATATTAAAGTATTTATTAAAGTAATGTCTAAATACAATTTTTTATCAATAGGAACCTGATGTACCAAAATGCTTAATCAATATAAAACAATTTTAGAATATCACCAGTATTTTAAACTCTGGCTAAATTGTAATTTTTGGTCAGAATTAAGTGGTGACAATTACTGGTAGTAAAATTTAATAATACCCTTAAATTTACAATGTTTAATTTTAGTAAAATTTTATATAATATAAAATGATTAATTTGCATCATTTTTTTCAAAATACTAAAAAATTTTTGGTTGCTTAATTTTGCATATTTATAAAATTTAAATATTATATATAGTAATACCTTTATAAGTGCATTTTCTACAAGTACACATCCTTTTTATATGTACTTCATAACTTAGTTCTAAGCTTTAAATGTATTTCCTCTATATCTTATATATTGTAATATGAGAATCCTTATAGGAAAATACTGATATTGTAGCACAATAGTAATAGTATTATAGTTTAAACTATATTATTTATTACATTATAATTTATTATATTATAGTTTTAAGATCATATATGATGTTATTTATTACATTATAATTCTTAAAACTTCAAATTAAATCAAATAAAGCCAACCCAATAGAATTCAATTTAAATCATAATTTGATTTGATTTATTAATAAAATTGATGGAATTAATAAAGTTAATAGATTCAAATTGATAAAATTAATAGGAGTTAATATAACTAATAAGATCAACTTTATTGATTTAACTTGTAACTTAAATTAATTTAATTTAGTTTAACTTTATCTTCAAATTAAAATCATTAATATTAATTACATTACTAGTTAATTATTATATTATAGTTTTTATTATTTATAAAGAAAAATTTATGTAATTTTATTTCATATATATTGAATTAAAGTTTGTTTTTATATTTTTTATAAAAATAAAATAATAAAAATTAAATATTAATAAACATTTGAATTATTAATATTTGTAATATAAATACAGTTAAATATCACAATTTGATGTAAATTTTGAAAAAGAAAATAATTATTTTCATATAATCATTATTAAAAATAGAAATTATATTTTTATTAATTACAAATCTTATTTTATAATTCTAATCATAAGTTGAAAAGGTTTGATTTATTTTTCTATAATTATACTAAAATTTGAAATAGTATAGAAAGTTTTAAAAGATTTTTTTTAAAATTAAAAAAAAAGGGTAATTTTAATACTTATTCTGGGTAAAAATCATCTGGTCATATAATTTTTAAATTTATACATGTAAAGTAAACCTGATTTTTTAATAAATTATATTAATTAAAATTGTCAATAAATTGCAAATTTTCCTCTTTACTTTATTAAAGCATTATAAAATTTGATAGCTAAAATATTAACCAAAATGGTAAAATTATATTCTTAGTAAGAAAAATTCAAAAATTAGTATCATTATAAAAAATACTGATATCTTTGCAAACATTATATTTACACTCATGAAAATTACAATGTAAGTGTTTTCCATCTTATTGAATAATATTCACTTAATAAAAAAAGTTAATTTCATTTGAAAAAAGTAGCAAAATTACACTATGAATTTAATAAACAAAAAATAAAAAATTCAAAAATTATTGCCATTATATAAATGTGAATATCTCTACAAGTATTATATTTATGCTTATAAAATTTAAGATATAAGTAGTTTTAACATCATTAAACAACTTTTACTTAATAAAAAAAGTTAATTTCATTTGTCTAAAGTAGTAAAATTACATTCTGATGTTAACAAATAGAAAAATAAAAAATTCAAAAATTATTGTTATTATAAAAAATATGAATATTTCTATACATATTATACTTACACTTATAATATATACTATAAATTGTATAAAATATCTGTAGCTTTACAAGATATAAGTAAGAAAACTAAGTCAAAGTATTTAGTGTGTTAATAACAAAAGCTTTTAAAATTTTTTTTTATAATCATAATGTGATAAATAAATAAATAAATAATTGCGAAATGTAACACAAATCAAAAAGATGAATTTTACCTAAGATGATTAAAATTTAAAAATAACCTAGAGTAAATTTTAAATTAATTCAAAAAAAAATTAAAATTGGTAAAAATTAATTTTTATTTAAAGTTAATTTTAGAATAATATGATATAACTTTATACAAAAAGTTATAAAAAATCTAGTTAATTATAAAAAAAAAAATCTTAGAATTTTAATGATTTTAAAATTTATTATACTTTATTATAATTAAAATTAATTAAAGAATTAAAATATATAGATTGTAATAAATTTATAATAAATTAAAAATTTTAAAAAATAAAATTTTACTATACTTTATTTTGGCTAAATTAGTTAAAAAACTTATATATTATAAATAAATTAGACTTAAAAACATATTTATTTTATAACCTGAAAATTCTATAATAGTATTAATAATTTAATTTTTAAATTTAAAAAATATTTTTAAATGTAAAAATTTCTATAAATTTAAAAATAATTGTAACTAATAATTTTAATTAAATTTACAGTAAAATTAAAAATAAATTAAATATAAAGATTTTAAAATATTTTATTTTTAACATATTATTGCCGTTTTCAAAATTTATACTGATAAATTCTGATTTGTGAGGTTTGATATATGATTTTTCGTATAATAAAAGTGAATCACATTTTTATGTAAATTTTTGATAAAATGTGTATCAACGCAAAATTTTGGCATATATTTAATATAAAAATTTTAGACTTTTACTATGCAGATATCATTTATTATAATCATTTATATATAAAAATAAAGTGAATCACATTTCTATATTAATTTTTAATATATTTATATTAAAATTTTTTTGTGAATCATCAAATTCAAGACATTATGTATATCAAGGCAAAATTTCAATATATATTTCATTTTAAAATTTGGACTTTTCTATGTCACTATTTTTATATGTAAATAATTGTTATATATAATATTAACATAGTAAAAGTCCAAATTTTTATATGAAATATATGCTGAAATTTTGCACTGATACTCATTTTGTCTCTAATTTAATGATTCACAAAAAAAATTTGACATGAAAATATCAAAAATTCATGTAGAAATGTGATTCACTTTATTTTTATATATAAATAACTGTAATAAATGATATCTGCATAATAAAAGTCCAAAATTTTTATAAGAAATATATACTGAAATTTTGTGTTGATACACATTTTGACTTGAATTTGATGATTCACAAAAAAAATTTGATACAAAAATATTAAAAATTTATGCAGAAATGTGATTCACTTTATTTTTATATATAAATAACTATAATAAATGATATTTGCATAGTAAAAGTCCAAAATTTTTATATTAAATATATGCTGAAATTTTGCGTTTATATACATTTTATCTTGAATTTGATGATTTACAAAAAAAATTTGACATGAAAATATTAAAAATTCACATAAAAATGTGATTTACTTTTGTTATACAAAAAATCATATATCAAACCTCGCAAATCATAATTTATCAGTAATTTTGAAAATGGCAATAAACTTATATATGCTGTTCAAATTATTTTGGGATGCCATAATTATAATTTAAGATGCCATAATTCATTCAGTTTATATGTAATTTACTATGTAAAATGCAAAAATAATTCGAAATGCTGTAATTAAATTTAGGATTTTACTTATAATTATAATATCTCAAAATAATTTGGATAACATGTATAAATTTTAATAGTTTCAAATTTCAATATTTTGAAAAATATTGAAATTTGAAAATATTGAAATTTAAATATTAAAAATTGCAAAACCATTAAAATTAAAAAGATGTCAACTAAATTTTATTTAATAATATCTTTATTATTTATTAATAATATTATTTTCTGATGATATTTTTGCTTAAATTTTAATAAAATATTATTTTCTATGTATCTGTAGATAATAAACTTGCATTAATTTAAATGAATTAAATTAAAATCCAGCCTATTTTTAAGATAAATCACCCTAAACTTAAAGTAAGATTTATATATAAAATTTGTTAAAAATTCTATTATAAAAGAAAAATTTTATATGATTTTTTTCCTTTTAGCTAATTAATTAATAGAATTTAAACAAATTTTAAGGTAAGATTTTATAAAAATTAAAATTTTTTATAATATTTATTAGTAATAGGCAAGTTCTGTTAAATTATATTATTTTCTATATATAAAAAATTTTATATGCAAATATATTGCAATGTATCCTTTATAATATTTTATATATAAAAGTTAAAAATACCATTTTAAACTATATTTTGATCTTAAATAAAGTTGTAGAGCAAGTAAAAATACATATAATATATTTTTTTAAAAATTCTATAATATGTATATAGAAAATTTAACGATATTATATGATAAAAAATAATTGACATATTTACTATGAGAAAATTATCAAAAAGAAAGAATATATTGCTATATATCTATATAAAAATAATTTTTCCCAAAAAATAAATATAAAATATAATATTATAATAATTAAATGCTGATATTTTTTTTATTTTTAAATAAAATATTTTCAAACTTTTCTTTTTAATTTTTATATTTTACTTATCCTTATTTTGTATATTATTACTATAAATAACTTCTAAAAATTGATTTTTAAAAAAATGTAATTACAGCAAATTTGAAATATTTTTTATATATAAAAAAAGTAACTGTAAAATTGAATATATTTAAGT